CGGGAGTGTTGTTCTCCCCTGTCTTTGCGACGAGGGCGCTGACGACGTTGGGGTCCTGGAGAATGCTTGCGACGATGGCCGATAGTGCGGCCGGGTTGATCTGGGGGGCAGCAGGGTGAGAAGCCTGCTGGCCCGAAGCGCGATCAGCATTGCGCCTGTCCTCGAGCCCGATGCGGGCGTCTGGGGCAGTCTTGTTGAGCTGGGTGCGAAGGTCGGCCGCTGCGAGCTCGACCTCCTGAGCGTTCTCATCCTGAATGATGAGGTCATTGGGGACGTTGTCAGCAACGTTTCCCTGCCCTTCCTGGTTCAGAGGGGCATTCCTTCCGATGTTTTTTGACCTAGTTCTTGTCATTCTGTTGCGTCTGGTAGCGACGAGGGGTACTCACTTGATCTGTTCTAAACTCTCAACGAGAGCACCAAATGATAGAGCATTAATTCTAGAGAGAAGTGAGAGCTAGAGAGAGAAAGTGAGTAATTATATTTCTCAACCCCCTATAACTAGCCCCAAGGGGTCTATTTATAGGAAAAAATGTGGATTTGGGCTCCTAGCCATGGGCTTAGGAGGCCCATTACAATAATCATGCCTTCTTTGGGCGAAATAGGGCCACTAATGGGCTATGTACAACACTTAGTAAATAACGTAGAGAGAAGCATTCTGCCCGTACGCAGCCGAGCCGATGCGGTGCCTTTTGGCCGATGCGGTCCCATGGCCGATGCGGTCCATGGGCCGATGCGGTCCCGGGAGTCCATGCGTGCCTCCTGGGCCGGTTTGGTTTCTGGCCGATGCGGACCACTGGCCGAAGGGGCCACGTGGGTGTTCTTCTGGCCATCGTTGACTTGAGTGTGTGGGCCATGGGGTCCAGGCCCATATACTCTATCAATGTGTTTATTAAATTAATTTACATAGTTGTAAACCGCGCCCTTAATTATGTCATTAGTTTGCATTTTCTATTACATAAATCTACACTTTACACGTGCCATTATGCACATCCATGCATGCTTCAAATAAAAATGAACATAAATATACAAAAGTGCACTATGTTATTACACTTTCGAAGTTTCTACAATAACACTCTTTTACAAAATAAAATGCACTTTTATACTGTGTATTATAAATAAATACAAAAGTGCACAATAAATCGCACTTTCTAAAACTCTACATTCACACTTTTTATAAAATGAAATGCACTTTTCTTCCAAAAGCATCATAATAATTCCAATATAATGGTGTCTTCTTATGTCACGTGTATCTGCAAAAATGTTAATAAATGAATTATGAAAAAGTGCATAAACAAGTACGTTAAGTGCAACATATGGTTCCATACAAATAATGTAAGATAAAGTACAGTAATATAGTGCATTAATCTGCATCATAAAACCATTCAGAGTGCATTAAAAACAGTCTTGGAATTGACTATGAATATAACAAATGTTTTCTTATGATGGATAGATAGATATATATATGACATGACAAGAGCGTAGTGTGTACACGGACAAGAGAAATAAATTAAAAACGCATTACATACAACATCTGTAAGAATCGTCCCTCTAAGATATATATGACATGACAAGAGCGTAGTGTGTCCAATTTGTATACGTGTCCATCGCTTAGAAGACGTACACATGTGTACGTCTCAATCAAAATAATTGCTTGAATTAAACATATATTCAACAAATAAAAACAAAAAAGACATCTATCGGTCACAAAATATATAACCTAAATATTGAAATAACAAAGTGAAAAAATAATTGTATATAAAACGCATATAGTGAACCACAAATCATCACAACAAGAAAGAGACAATAAAGTATGTCCAGGAGCCGGTGAAAAAAAAATACATGGTAAATGAACTCCATGGCAGATTGTCACGATGGCGGAGCAAAGATCGCAGCATTGAAAACGAAGAAGATGATTGTGATCATGAAAAAAGGAATTACCATTGCGCAAGAGGAGAAAAACGATGCAGGAATACCTTAGGAAACAATTCTGGAGAAACACATAAGGAAAGAATCGTGCAGCGAGATTTTAGGAACCGTTTGAACGGATGTGTGATGTAGAAACTGAAATGACATGGATACCCTTTATACAAATTACTCACACGGTTAAATTAGAACCTAATCTAATGGTCCATATCTATTCTTTTTTCCTCTCCTAAGATTAAGTTCTCACATGAACCTAAATCTATATATATATATGTGTGTGTGTGTGTGTGTGTGTGTGTGTGTGTGCGCGTGTGTGTGTATATGTGACACCGCACCCGAACGTCCTTGAAAATTCAATTTAAAAAATTGAATTGTCTGTGTATTGAATTTCCGATTTCCAAACAATTGTAAAATGATTAATGTTTTACGTAGCGCATGATTGATTATTGTACTATTCAAACTCGTATATTAGTGTCGGGTTTGCAAATACTTATTTGGGCCTTATTAATGAACATAAGAGCCCAACATTACCTAAATAATGTTGCATAACATTTCAAGACAAGTTGAGGAAGGTCGGGCGGCCCAAGCATTATTTTGGGCCCAACCTGCTAAAAATAGTAAGTATTCAAGAAAGGCGTCTGAGGCCCACTCGGGGGTGACCCACATGACTATTAGTCTAATAATATGAATGACAAATGTCAAAATAAGTGATAGAATGATTAGAGAAGAATACAAATGCCTATGGTCCCACCTTTGACATTATGGAGCTAAATAATGGGAGTAGGTTTTTCTTCTATGGTATTCATCATGTAAATTATTGGGATGATCCTACACATGGTTGAGACCAATAAAATGATGTAGGGAGTTGACTTGGTCTATATAAATTATAAGGAGTACAAAAAGACATCTCATGACAAGGATAAAACAATAGGGTCCATCTTTTCATTTTGGAAGTATTGGTAGGTATTTTGGACCCCAAATTGAATGAGATCATTTGGGAACCATCCCACATGACCTTGGTACCTGCAAGACAAAGAAAAATGGGTGAGACAACTATGTGGGGCGGACATTTGACTTGAGAGCTACAACATTACAAAAAGGAAATAAAAGAGGAGGTCCACACCATGTTTAATTGCAATCAAACACCCTACCCTTTCTTTTTGTGAACCACATGCTTAGATATCATTTTGAGAGCTCCTAAACACCTCCCCTCACCCCCCATTCGAACTGAAAGGGATAAGAAAGAAGGGAGAGCCTCACACTCAAAAGAGAAAGAGATAAGGGAGCTGGCCGCAGGGTTAATCTCCAGTTCGTGGAGCTCACTGTTTGGTTCGTATCTTGAGAAATACTCATACAAAGGGGGCGTGTGAGGTGTCCACTGAAAGCTCTCAAGAAGAGGAATCCATATACGTGCGGTTTGAAGGAAACGGAGCAGTTTAAGGCCTCCAAATCGTCCGAACAAAACGCAACCTCGCAGAATACGTTTTTGTATTCAAAGTAAGTTTGAATCCAAAACCTTCCTCTCTATTGTCTAAATCATATAAATGATTGAAGAACTATTATACACTGGTTGAAGTGTATAAAATGTTATTATAAAGTGACTTTAATTGTTGGAAAGGTTAGATACTAACCTAGACAAAACCTTGAAGGGTTAGGGAACGAATTTGTCGGAAAACACCCGTTCTAGGGACTGTTTTCGTGTCTTCGGTTAGGAGTTGAGCTAGCACCTTGAGGAGGCTGTTTAACACTCATTTCTAATCAAGGAATCAGTTCTCAAACTTCCTTGGCCGAGGCTTTGGTCATTGGATCAAGAAGGAAAAGTTTAAAGCTCAATAAAGGTGAGGATCGACATCTAATTGCTTACAACTTGTAGGTTAAGCATGAGATTACCTAAATGCCTAAATCATAATTTTTCATGAATTATGATGATTGAATATTGATAAAATATTGATATAGTGGCCAAAGAATGAAATTGGAAATGATTTGAAGTTGTATGGATAATATGAGATTTAATGAATTATTAATGAACTATTTTGGTGAAATAAGCATTTTACTCATGTATTAAATATGTGGATACATAAATGGGTATTTATGTATTGAAGTTGAATATTTAAGTTGCTGCTACATACTTATCAATATGTAGAGAATTACAAAACGAGGATGTTGCATGATGACAATAATCTTAATAGTATTGAAATACTAGTTAGTGATTATTTGAAATTGTTGATAGAATTGATCCTAAATATTGGATTGCATGAAATGCACTTGAATGTACTTCAAGTGTATAAGATGACTTATCATGAAACTAAGGGTAAGTTATGGGAAGTCATTAAGAATGACCCAAGGTAGATTATTGAGATGTCAATTCTAGGCATAGGTTTGCTTAGGAATTGGACTATAATGAAGAATTAGAGCCGGACTCTATGATTGCATGGAAACGTAGTTGGGTCGAGCCCTTGCCATGTAATTGTTATTTGCATGGAAATGTAGTTGGGCCGAGCCCTTGCCATGTAAATTGTGGTTTGCATAGAAACGTAGTTGGGCCGAGCCCTTGCTATGCAAATGTGATAGGATGTAATTGTGACTTGCATGGAAATGTAGTTGGGCCGAGCCCTTGCCATGTAATTTGTGATTTGCATGGAAATGTAGTTGGGCCGAGCCCTTGCCATGTGAATTGTGGTTTGCATAGAAACGTAGTTGGGCCGAGCCCTTGCTATGCAAATGTGATAGAATGTATTTGACATAAAAGATTGCATAGAAATGTAGCTGGGCCGAGCCCTTGCTATGCAATAGTAATGTGATGAACTCTATGAATTGTCGTGGCTTATAGTCACGGGGAATGGGAATGGTGATTTCTAAATGAACATGGGCCCACGGGCCGATTACTTGACTTTTATATAAAGTAAGTATATTTTCAAACGGGGTAACTTAGGGTTACCACTATATTGTATTATCACCCTATTTGAGGGTCTTGTGTTTGAAATACTTGTTGTATATCCCTTAGATGCCATCCACACCAGTACTTTATAGCCGTATAGAGTACTGACCCCTTCGGGGGCGTCCCACCACCATTTCAGGTTGAAGCTCGAGCTTGCTACATGTGCCCGTTGCTCGGGTGATCCTTTGCAGAGAAGACGTGGTTCGTGCTTTCTCCATTCTGTTTTGAACAATATTAAACATGCTCATGGTGTTTTACTATAGAGCCTGCGTGCTCATGAATAGCCCTGTGTGGCCCTTTATGTTTTAAACAATGTTTTCCGCTGCGTTATGAATTACTTAATATGTTTGTTTATGGATGTTATGTGTGTGAATGATATTCAAGACGCCTTGTATAATATGAATGTGTTGGACTGCGGTTGACTATTCGTATTGTACGGCGGGTTGTTGACGTGTCCGGGGAGGTCCGGGGCGTGACAATTTAATTGGTATCAGAGCCTTAGTCCATAAACTTCATAATAAAGTCTCAAAATTATCTTTTCAAAATGATTTTTGAAAACCATGAGCATAAATGTTTTGTACTTGTAGAACTTTTGGTACTTGAGTTGCAAGGTCTCTAATTGTTAAGATGGTACCCTTAACAATTGGTATGACAGCAATTTGAGCCAAATAGTGTCTTAAGTACAGGTCTGTCAATTGACATTTGATACGAGTCTCACGACTCTTTCCAAATTTCTTTCAGAAATGGACTGTGGTGGAAAGGTTACTAGGAGAAACCCGACGGGCCGTGCACCGGTGGAGACTGGGCAGGGCAGTCGTGGAACCTCTAGGGCATCTAGAGGAGCGGGCCGTGGGGGCCGATCACAGACTATGAGCGACGGTCATGTGAGCACCGAGAGTGAGAGCTACTGGTCCTACGAGGACTCGACCTATCAACCGGAAACCGAGCCGGTTGAGACCCCATATGAAGGGGATGATGATGATGTAAGTGATGAAGAGGAGGAAAATGGCTCCTTAGCACGAATCGAAGCGTTACTCCAACAGTATCACCGTGAGCGTGAGGAAAGGAGGGAACGCCGAAGGCGCCGAGCTGGGCAACCTTCGGGCGGGGCTTCAAGAGGAAGAAGCCATGGCGACTCTAGGGCCCACATCGAGTCAGATGGGGGCCGAGGTGATGGAGGTCCAACCATAAGGATCTCCAAGTACATTAAGGAGGCGAGGGACTTGGGGTGCAAACCGTTCGATGGGACGAGAGACATCTCGATTGCCGCTCAATGGATCAAGAGGTTGAACGAGGCAGCTCTTGACATGCAACTCACGCCCAATCTTAAACTGAGGATTGCGGTAAGATTACTTGAGGGAATGGCATCCAAGTGGTGGGATGGGACCAAAGGCAAGTATGGTGAAACCGTCGTTTGGGAGGACTTCCGACAGGAGTTCTTTACCCAATATTACTCTGATTTCGAGGTAAACGCAAAGGTGAGGGAATATACCCTTCTAACCCAGGGTGGTAACATGACGGTGAGTGAACTTGAGCACAAGTTTAGGGACCTTGCCGACTACATACCGGAATATGCATGTGACGAGAACCGAATGGTGAACCACTTCTGGGATGCTCTAGACTTGGAGATACGTGATAGGGCAACACAATTGCCAAACATGACTTTCAGTCAAGTGG